TCACCAAGAGGGAGCCCAAGTCCTAACTGGTCAACAAAGAGCAAGGTCTTCCCACCAATGTCGTGGAGGTTTGTATGTAGAACCACTCACTTCGTCTATAGCATGCATTGCTTTTGTAAAACAGTTAGACTTTTTGCAAATTCTCATTATATGATTTGTTCAATTTTTGTAAATAGGGTCTTTCAAGCAAATTGATTTCCTCGTGTTCTACAGACTGTTCACCTTTTATTGGTCTGTCCAAACTTTAACGAACCATCCTTCTACAGCTTGTTCTCCCTCTACAAATGTTCTTCTAGACTTATAGATGCATTTCCCGTTCAATAGCTTCTTCTACTTCTACAGAGTCAAAACGTTTCCATGCATTATACATCCGGTTGTTAATACTCCACTACATATGGCTTGTGTGTATAGAAGTTGTTCGTTCTATACACTCAAACACCCATGTTAGTAGCCTTTTATTATATGAAAATCTTCAAAATATCAAAGAGGATTTTCTCAATGATCTTTCATTTTTTATGATGACAAAACAATCTATTCCTTTATGCAGATGTATTACATGGATTTTCTCAACGATTTTCCGCCCATCAAATGCTTTTCTCACAAATTACGACAAAGTAATGGCTAGAGAACGTCAAGTGAATCTTTATATATTTAATTTTATAGTAGCAAATAAAAGTAAATTTGAGAAAAACATAAAATAAATCTTTTAATCATCGTTGTATTTAAATTCTTCATTTTCTTTGTTTTACAGATTTATGTTATTTCATCATATTCCACAATGTCCATATTGTAGAAAGGTGTTTTGAGGAAGCAAATCAGTCACTTTTTCACAAGTGACGAAGTACAACCTGAGAATGCCCCTCGAATTCCCTTTTCTTTAGGGCAGTCTTTACGACAAGTTGCTAAAATATTTGTGTGCATTATGCAAAGTCCTTAGAAATGATATATGCCGAGATTTGCACAGCTGATTGAATTTTGTATTTGTTGTTGCACTTAATATTAGAATGTAAATTTATACAAATAACATGGGATATCTCATTCGATTTGCAGGAAAGTACACAAAACATTTCATCCACATACATCGGGTAAAGTGTTGATGACATCAACACTTGTTATTATAGTGATAAAACGTCTTGCATCCGAAAAAAAAGATAGAGTTCAATATCATTCGTCATGATGTATCAACCTTTGAAAGGGGGTAAAATTAGAACCCTTTGTGGTTCTCAACTCGTGATTCGAATACATAAGTTTGCCATATTCAAACATAAAAAATTTCTAGAAGGGAAAAAAAGAGAGGAGGAAACGATTAAAATAGGCGAATGTCACATCCTCTTAAAAAGAGAGAAGCCATTTTGCAAATGTCAAATTTCCCGAAAATGCTTCATGCAGGCGATTTTGTAATTTGAGGAGGAAGAAGAAGGATCCAGAGGGCGAATCCCATTGCTAAAAAGTGCATGACTAGTCCCTACGACAAAAGTATAACCATGATGGTTTCGGTTTATCATGATGGTATTTGTATGGTATGTTGTCTCCCACTAATCCTCATACAATTTTTGGTGAACGATATACAGAAAAAGATAAGATGAAAATGATTTGGAAAAATGTGGAGGGGAGAAAGAAAATAGGAAAGCAAACACATATCTAGGGAAGGAAAAGTTAGGATTCATTTTTCATCTCATTGTATAGACATACTCGCATTTTGTATTTCTATGTTTTCCTCCTAAGATGAACATTGTGGGTAGCTATGAAACTATGATCTCGTGACATCACTAAATAATTGTGCTCCAACTCTCGGGTTATTGTCAATACTTGAAAGCGTGGAAGCGAGACAAAAAGAGAAATACAGGGGAAGTCAATAAAAAAAAAAGCGTGCGTGATAGAAATGTAAAATTTTGTGGGATTGCTGCCTAATGTTTTAAAAGTTTAAGCGGTCGGATCAATGTATCGTATAATATTCGAACGTTCTAACCCTCTCCCTTGCTCATAAGAAAGGAGAGAAATAGGAATTTAGGATCTTCTGCTTTGATATCATGTAAATTTCCATCAACTGTTCTAAAAGTTTAAGTCGTTAGATGAATGCGTTATTTAATATTCAAATATTATAATAAAAAGTACGTATGTAGATGGAAAGAGAGAATAAAAAGGGCATTTGGCGGGACAAAAACCCTACTTTCTCTAAATTTTCAATAGTGGTACGAAATGGATGGCGCAGAGCATTTGTCAATCCACAAATTTGTCCGATGCAAAATAAGAGTTTGGCAAAAGAGGGAAGAACGACAAATTTGGGATCATTACCATACAATAGGACGTCATATATTCTGATATCTCCCCAAATTGAAAAAGTGCAAAAGAGTGCCAATGGTCCAATGATGGATACTGAGAGAGCCTTTCCAATTGCATGATTGCACCCAAACCCAATTTATTTCAATGGGGGCATGAGTCTCCTTTTGACTGTGGCTCGACTTTTGGGTATGGTCCAGTGATTGGATGTGTTGCCAGGAGCCATTAGAACCAAATGGAATGGCTCGTGGAGCATCATGGGGACATACATATCTCTATTTTGGTTCACAACTAAGGGTTTTCGATTGGTGTCGCGATGTCGCTCTAGAAAACTCTTCACTGTGCTCAAAGATTTCAGGAAGAACTTGTCTATCTTGGAAGAGAAAAGTTACTGGGATGACCCTTAACGAGAGCATGTCTGATCCTTCAAATCCCCAAAAGACAACTCGAAAGAAGTCGAGTACGTAATTTGGCAGATTCAATAAACGCTTACAACCGGCGCGAAAATAAAGAGATGAATTTTCGAAATTCAGGGTGACCTGTAATGTCGTCCAAACGATAAAAGGGCGCCGAAAAGCGATTTACCCTTTTGAACTATAACTCAAAGTCCATGGTTACAGATTGACAATGAATCGTCCAGGGAAGCTTTTTCTTCCATCCAAAGTATGAAATGGGGCAAGGCCATATGAAAGCGCCCATAATGTTGGAAATTCAAGAAAATGGAGCTAGGACCTTCTTTGATGAAGCTGTTTAGCATGTGATTCACGGCGAGTCAATCAAACACATCAATCTGACAACATTCCAAGTTCCCAAAAGTGGATAAGATATGCTGGTGATGTGATAGCGGTCTCTAGAATCTATAATGCATCAGATTTCAGAATCAATGCTAATGATAAAAGTGTTGACTGATGATAGAGCAGATGTTCACTATTCTTAGTCTAACCGAGAAATCTAGCACGTAGAAAGTGAATTCCAAAAGATGTTGGGAAAGCCCTTTTTGTCTTTTGCTTTTTTGATTTGGGTTGAACCGCCCCGTTCATGTGATGAATTGCTTAGTCAGGATCAACCAATGTAAATGAGAAATCATTCCACTTTGTTTTCTTACTTTACCACAACTAACTAATGAGTACCACCTGTCCACTGTAATCATTCACTTTCTATTTGGGAACTCCTAAGTTTTAAGTTCACACTTTTTTTCTTTTACACAAGCAGGAGGGTGTCATTTTCCAGTATTATTATAAATAACAAATGAGGAAGCACAAAGATTTACTTTCATAGGGCCAACTAAACGACTAAAACTATTATAATTCTGGACATGATTCCTTTTGAACCCTACAATGTACACAAGTAAGAAAGAGATTCTAGACTACTCCATTGAAATGTGACTATTCAAAGTCCAATCCAAAGCTGTAAGTAATAAGTGGAGGAAGACTAAGTATGTATAAAACTCATCAAAAAGTCGTATCTAAGCAATGTAAGATATGTTTTTAAGCGTAAGTTGGATTATAGAATGACGGGACAATTGTGTAGCGCACAAAGTAAAAGTACAAATAAGAATATGCCAGATCTATTGTATGGATTCCACTCTAAGTTAGATTTCTATAATTGATCAAACAAGGAGAACCGATATTTTTTTAGCTATCTTAAACTAGGTGAGAGGGAGCAACTAGCGAAACTGCCTCCCCTGAGCATTATCATAGGAGCTCCGCACCACTCCACATGATGTTTAGTCTATAGGTCTAAAGTATGTTTTTGCATTGTTTGAACCGAATCACTTTGCACCAAAGCCTCAATCTATCCTCCAAAGAGGTCCTTCTGAATTGCGCTAGCCCATCACTACGACCTCACCAAAATGTCAACTAGATATATGGATTGGCTCAAAGTTCAGTTCTTAGATTTGCAACACTCAGATCTCTAACTACCTGAAGGAAACCACGAAGAAGCCCTTATCCAGTTGAACTGCCGCCTTGATAGTATTAGGGGGAACCAATTATCCCTTACTCAACATGACATTTCCTCTCGAAACTAACCATAGCGAATTTAATTACACGATCTGTTTGGTGCATTGCCATGAGCTCGCAAGTTAGCGCCACATCAATAGTTTGCGCAAGTAATATAACCAAATAATCAGTTCCCTCTGAAAATGCATCGAAGAGCCAAGAGAGGACCATGCTTAGCTATCACAAGAAAGGACTCCAGTGCTAAAAAGAGAGAAGAATTTGCTTTGTGATAGTTCAATTAGTGAAACCCAACTTGGCCCAATTAGTGAACCCCAAATTGCTTAAAAGGCCAATATAGTTCAGCTCTTGCACATTAGCACAAGCTACCCACAAATGCTTCGGTTGGTTGGGGGCAAGAGCGAGACAGCGACGATCATAGAACGAAATGGGAACGATAAATCCCCAGCAGATGTCTGCAATTTGTGGGACTGGTTTTTTGAATAATGATGTTTTGGACTGTTAGGGCATGGGATCCATCGAAAGATACAACACAATGGAGGGACTTCACTAGCTTACAGACAATGGGCAATTATTGTAGGAAATGGAGCAGGCCCGGCGACCGTTCAAATCAGACTATTGAGGAACAAATGATTGAATTCTCATCTCATCACTAGCTAGGAAGGTGCAAGCAAAAGCTGCAAAACATGGAAAATTTACGGGACATTTGTTTTGGACGGGGGGTTTGGCGGGCTGTGGTCCATGAGCAACAATCATAATAAGTTTCCCGAATGTTGCACTTTTATTCCAGCAAATCAATCATGCCTTCCACAAAAGCTATTGGCCAGGGACCTCCGATGGGGGCGCACTGCAAATTCACTCCCTCCATCTTACTACAAGGATCCGCACAGTCCGACTGATGCACACATTTCGGCAGATCCCCACATCTGCATTATTTTGTATCAGATGATTCGGTCCCCAGTTGAGACCGCGATTCAAATGTCCAGATGGGACTGCAGGCACAGACAATAAAAAATATCCTGTATGCACTCCCTTCATGGAGAGTGCGCGGAGTATATCCAAAAGGGCGTGACAAAAACTCATACCTGACATTTGTGCCTTTCGTACTTCTATCCAGTCATCAACAACTACAATAAATTAACCCCTAGGTGTATCATCTTTCCTAACCCAGTGTTTGCCTGGCTTTCTAGCATTCCTCGCACTGTTTTTCCTCGTACCTGAGTTCCTATGCTCAATGGTGCCTCGTGTGTTTGAGGATCCAATGGAGTTACGGACAGAAGCAACTGCCTTGCCTTTTTGCTGCCTTAAGGCATTACTAGAATCTGTTTCCAAAGAGACAGCTTCGTCCCTTGGTTGTTGTTCCTCGATATTGTCATTCGTCGTACCAGATGTCGATGAGGTAATTGTCGGGGTTATGTACATGCCCGGCAACACAACCAAGTCCTTCTTGGGTTCAATTAAGCCATTAATTTCTTGCTGCACTTTCATAATGGTCTCAAGTCTCTGCCTTCTACTATTTTCGGAATCTGACCAGAGAAGCTCCCCATTCTCTTCAGGGACATCTCCTTCAAAACTCTGCCATGACAACCAAGAGAATGCACTTAATTACTACACCTGGCTAGTGAAAATATCAAAGACACTCTCAACTCAATACACAAAGGAAAAAGGTACTTTGACCACCGATTAAAGTTCCTTCAGCAGGATTTTAACAGAATCTCTAATGGCTGAGGACTAATTCATGGAAAAGAGAACCATAAGTTAATGGAAAGGAGAAGCATAAGTTAATGCGGCATAAGGTAAATATACCACTGACCCAAATGAGCAAAGACCACTTCTCTACTATATGCTTCTCCCCTAACCAGTTGGAGGTAACAACCAACTAATGCTGACGATGCAAATTACAGTGATGCATGCTTTAAATAATTCCTCTAGACTAATAAGTGAATTGGCATACCGATTTGGAGGAAAATGAGCTGATTAACTTAAGTACATGTTCCAAATCCTTGGCCTGAAAAACTTTCCTGCAAACTGGACAGTTTCCCTGGCTTTCTAACCCTGGATGCATGTGTAGAGTAGCAACCGACAGTCAAGTACTTGAAACTTAAGATTTAAGCATAAACAAGAGAAATTAATGTCTAAAAACAAATTAAGTACAATGACAGCACATCAGAGAACAACCCCATCAGATCATGAAGGCATGTGCCAAATAATAGTGCTAGTGTCATAATAAAGCTCCTTACAGCCTACAAGCACAAGAAGCATCGAGTAGTTTCTATCCATATAATGACAATTGACTAGATACTACTGCAAAATACTCTTTTATTTCAGTAAACATTTGTAGGTGAGAAAAGGCACTTAATTAGCATGTTACATATCAAAGATACGACCTACTTTGATGGATAAAGATGCAAACTAAGGAGTATCCCTGCCCATATCACTGACATTTTATTTGATGCTATTAGTCAGCTTGACGATAGAAACCAATGTAAGGAGGGCCAGTACCTTGTCAATGACCTGAAGGACAAAATCATTACTAACCATTTGGTGTAATGTGAAATCATGTCGTTGCATCTTTGAATAATTTTCAAAGGAGTCTTCTCCTTCCCAAGACAATTCCTATTTCGAGAAAGTTCTCTAAAGATACATTTTAAAGATCATACATTAAGTGGCCCTCAGAGATCAAGCAACATGTAGCCATACCCAGTTAATAGAGCACAAATCAAGGATCAACATAAAGAACAATGAGCAAACAGATGATCATCCCAAAGAAGATAAATATTGCATCCAAACGGGTAAAAAAAATAAATGACCTTAAACTTAGCAATCATTAAACATGTTCTGAATGCAAAGACAGCAGATGAGACTATGTCTCTGCACGACAAGCTGAAAATTTCGTGTTAGCATTTGTGTGTTAGCCAAAGCAAGTGCTCTTGTAAGATACTAACTATAAAATGAACTGAAACTACAACTCAGAGTCTCCTTAAACTGGTGAGCCTATTTTAGATGTCCAAGAATGACAAGTGGATAACCTCCTACCCTAAGAAAAATTCCATTTAAAAAAGTAAAAAAAGGAGAGAGAAGAACTAGAATAGTAATGGAAATCCACCACTTAGTCGAAAAAGGGACAGTTCTTTCAAAAACATCCATACCTTTTTCATTTCCCATCTCACCAACTTTTGTTTGTTTCTCATTTTGAAGCCAGTTCCACCACCTAATAATGCACTCACTGCCATGGTTCCAGGTGAGGAAAATCAAAGATCAAGGAGGGAAAAAAGCATATACATGAGAGACACAACTCAAAGCGCAAAGCAAGAATGCATTCTGACCTGTGAAAGCAATGGAAACAAGACATCAGCTTCATAAATGCCAAATCTAGGTGTTCTGTATCTTCAGGAACCAGAGGATACAAACACAGTGGACAGTCACCCTCTGGGTGGTTCATCTTAGAGAGGAGTTCCACTGCTTCCTACAAGAAAATTCACACAGCGAGAGCATTCAACAACAACAATCATTACTACTAAGCCTTATCCAACTCAGTAGATTGGCTATATGAACCTTTCATGCAAACTGAGCTAAATCATGTATCTAGGTTGGACAGAATAGAGACTCAAACTTGCCCAGCTGATAAATTTGGAAAGTGCCTCTTCCATCTCAGCAGGATAACATATAAATGTTTATATTACCTTCTTCATAAATCATGTTACCCTAGACCACACAGGGGATGCCTGACCAGTTCATAGACTAGTTCGGGTCTGTGTATACGAACAATTTTATGGACATTTCTCTCACATACAGTATAAATTTCAAAAAGAATTCAGAAAGAAAACTTTCAGTTGACACCATCAATTGACTGGAGCGCAGATACAAGGCGAAAAAGGTGTTTAAACATCTGAAATTTAGGCATGACCTCAAACTCTAATATTTCACCAGTTATGCATTTGTTATACTATTTTTCTGCAACATGTTAAACCATTCTATCAGATGTTTGATGATCATCAACCTGTTGACAAGGCAATTCCTACCAAAACATCACACCTAGTAGGCCATGTACTCATCATGCATGCAAAAATTAAACAACTGCTTTTCTTGACTCACTCTTTGCAGATTCGATGATTAGTTTAACTTAGGGGTGTGCAAAATGAACTGCCCGGACCAGACCGGACTAGCCGGTTTGGTCCAGTTCCCGGGAGTGTCGGTCCGGTTCCCAATTCCTAAAAGTGGAACTGGTGTCCGAGTGGTCCGGTTCCCAATTCCAAGGGGGAATCGGACCGACAGGACCGACTACATATATATATTTTTTATATTTTATTTCTTCAAAAAAATTAGTAAAATGTAAACTAAACCCACGTACAACGCTTTCCCCTTATCATTGCATCACAATGAATCTTCACTTGTCGTCGTTTCCGTCAATATGTTGAGATTTGTCACTCTCTCTCGTTATGGTGGGACAAAAATAAAATAGTGACCGGTTTCCCCGGTTCCCAAAATTGAGAACCGGTCCTCCCGGTCCGGTTCTCGGTTCCATCTTGGAACTGGACCGGACCGGGAACCGATCACCCCTAGCTTAACTCCACGAGAAGGGACAATATCACACCCAAAAACAAAAATCTCTAGTCCAGGATCATCGAAATCATGTTTTGACCCGAGAAATTTCTAGCAATAGCTCTGGTGAGGCCAGCTAATAACCAAAAAAATGGATTTAAACTTGGGCCAGCATTTGGCACTAAATAAGCCCTACAGTGTCTAAATCTCTCAGCAAATGGAACCATTGTATTGTAATATTCCCTTAACCCTGTCTGCACTTTATAATAAGAGGAGAAAATTGTACATCTTATACCAGTAGATTCCTCGTCTGAAGTAATTCTGAAACAGTTAAATACAATATTATTTCTTCTTAAAAATTATGGTTTTAAAACTCTTTATGGGTTAGAATTTACTCCACATTATCTGATAGTTTTCTAACAATTCATTTTTATATGCCCCATCCTAATCATTACAAAAGAAGCAATTTTAACGACATTGACCTAATAAACTGAGGAATGAATGTCGAATTACTGGCAGCATATAAATCTAATCTATTTCCACGATATTTCAGTCCTTACAAGCTCTTCCCATGGATATCACCTTCCAATTGCATTTAAAACATGAGACTCAGCTATGTTCATTCTCTTTTTGAACATATAACCAAGGTCATTCTTCTGTCCTTGTATGGCACTAATTTCACTTCAGACACCACTACTGTACCAAATTAACTAGATTAAGACCCCGTGAACCACAAATGTCTGAAGCAACTCAAACTTTGCTTCTTCTTTAAGGATGGGAAAAGGTTAATCCTTTCAAATTGTTTCACCAAGATTAAGAATTGACATTAAGCTGAAGTCATCAAATCAAATGGTCCATCTTCAGAAATAACTGCATTGGTGCAATGCCATTTTCAACAATAGTGAATTAATAGAATGACAAGAACACAAAGTGTATGTCATATGACCGCGCATAGTATCATTAAGGTTGAAGAATTAAGGCTAATGAATGATTGTCTCCAGCAGTCTTGCTAATAAAAATTGGTGGATAAGATTGTTAATATTTCAAAGCAAGGGACTAAAACATGAACCTGACAAAGCCTACACCCTACTACTACCTCGTCCAGCACTTTCTGTAGCTACTTATTTTTCTAGCATACTCAGAACAAGTCACTTTTGCGGGAAACATCTCATCATTTAAATGGTATCCCATTAATGTCACACAAGTAACTCCTCATATTTCTTTAACCGAGTTCTCGGTGCTAGCCACCATAGGCAAATGCAACTCACAAGCTTGAGCAGCCAACTACCTGTATGCAAGGTAGCAGCTACTTCGGCAACTCATTCAGCACAATCCGACTTCTTAACATTGTGGAGAAAGGAAATTTCAACAGAGTAGCGGCATATACCAGATGATACAGCAAAAAATCCAACAATTACCAACTAAGCTTCCACTGAGGAGATTTGAGATGCTAAACAAATTGAGCACACTTTTCTACGAGGTCAACAGACAGCACACCAAAAATAAAAAAATCAAATGAAAAGAAGGATTACCAGCAGAGAAGACAATTCAGCCCCTAGAGAGCAAATCAAGTCTGTTCTAGCCAGAAAGAAAGGACAGAGGGACATAAAAGATCCATGTATACGATTGAATTAAGGTGCCATACAAACTTAAATGAATTGAAATATGTTATTGCATGCGCGTGCACCGTCAGTGGAGCTAATACAAAGATATTTACATACAGCCAGCACTAGCTACCATCAAAGAACTTGCGTGACATATTCTACTAGAGTTACCTCACAAAGTGCTACTAGCATTGAACACGAGGAAAGTTGACGAGCTTTGTTCAATATGCAATCCAAAAGATATTTCTGCCTTATATCATCAAGACCCTTCGATTCTATAAGTTCAACACCAGGCGGGACATCCGGATACTACATAAGACAGCAAAATTAAAGTCATACAAAAGACAAAGTACAACGACTAGCTAAAAGTATAGCTTTTGCAAATTTACCGAGCAACAACCCAAAAGAGGTGCAGATCGATCCAGTAAATACCAGACAAAATCAGCAACCACAACGACGACAGCATCCACCAAGTCTCACACAATGAAAGAGAGATAGACGGATGCATTCCGTTTCAAATGCCAACCATTTATGGATAAGGCAAGGTTCAAAGTTTCGCACGATGGGGGACGAACTTCGAACCTTCACGCGACAACTCACACTATTCCCAACATACTCTATTTGCTAAAACAGTTTTAAACTTGTCCACTTCTTCACTTCAGCGAACACCGTCTTCGGAAGAGCATCACTGATCCTGAAAACTACCTGAACAGAAAAACCATTCTAGCACTGCCCAGTGGTAACTGTAGCTCAATTCCATTCAACAGTTAAGCAATCCAACAGTGAAAAGCATCCCACATCACTTCCAACCAAGTCGATCGAAACTACGCAATCCAGCGATGGTCCTTCGATCCCTACCGAAAAATTCGCAAAAAGTCGATTACCTGTGGGCCTGCGCTTATTCCGATGACCGCTTCCACAAACTGCGAAGAAGAAAACGAAGGCAACGCAAAATGAGACTCCGGGCGTTCTTGGCCTGCGAATCGCAATCGGAGAGAAGAGAGCGCATCGAAGAGGAAAGAGGGAGGGAACCTGCTGAGAGGAGACGTCGGCGGTGCGGGGCACGATGCGGACGTGGAGCCGGGGAGGATACTGGTCGACGACGGCGCAATCGCCGCCGTAGACGGACTGCACGGCCTCCACCTCCATCGCCACCTCCTCTTCGTGCCCGGCCATCGGAGGCGGGGTGGCGCGGCGCCGCGCGCGGCGGAGGAGGAGGAGGAGGAGGGGAGGAGCGCGCGGCGGTCGTGCGGCGGTGATGGATTCGAATACGCCTCCTACAAGTGGTCAGCGCGTTCGCTCCCGCTCGACGTGGCAACCGTGGCGAGCAAATAAATAATTTTGTTTTCCCTTTTTTGAATTTTATTTTCCTTGTCTATATCTATATCTATTTATTTATATGTTTAAATCAAAAAATGAGGTGCAAATTTTTCCCTTTCATTTTTTTTCCGTGAAAAAAAATATGCAAAGGGTAAAATTATAAACCCGTAAAAATAATACTATCTCCCATATTTATCATAATTCTCAATTCGTATTGTATAATTCGAATCGATTCGATAAATATATATTCGATGAATCGCTAATTACCTGAACCGTAAATAAAAATTATTGGTTCACTAAAAAAATCCATGATACGATATGAATTTATCGATTCTTACCTAGGTTTTTTTTTTATATCTTCACTTATTAAAATGATGCAATTTGTAATATTTTGCGAAATATGTTGTATTTTGATAGTTATCGAATAGTTAAACATAAATTTTGCACTTTATAAGGCAATGATTAATGATGACATATGATTTGTGATTTGCATTTAAACGTAATGTTTATTTTAATAAAACAAACGGTAATTACACGAAATTAAAATTTCTTTTTTCCAAGACCATAATTAATGTTCATAAATCAAAAAATAGCTATGACATACAATACTAAGTTTAGATACTTTTATTAAGTCTCATAACTCGATTCAGTTCAACTCTCGATTTACAATCCGTAAATTCAAGATTTTTTATTTACAATACATATATCAACAACTTCTCATATTGGAAAAAAAATACCCATTACTCAAATTGATTCAACAGAACACGTGGCTCGAGTAGTACATTGGTTCTAGTCCCAAGATACACTTGATTAGGATGATCAAGCTCTCTTAAAAGTGTATCGAAGGTATTCACTAAGAAACTAAGAATCGAAAGGATAATTTACATTGCACATTAAGAACATGAAATATCATAGGTATATTTTCTTTTCAGCATGTCATTAACGGAAAAAACATAAAAATACAACTTCCAAAGCATAATAATACTTAGGGTCATGCCACTCCCATAGAACAAATCCGAGTCATTTATGCGTTTCTCGACGTCACGTGTCTACATACTTTTTAAAACATTCAAGCCGTTTGCTTTTGGCGTTGTGTCTGATCCGGTACTTGCTCACGGGAGTCCTGTCCTGGAAGGTAATAACAAGGCTCGGAGCATCGATCAAGGGTCGGGATGGCCGGAAGGTCATGCCGGCATTCGTCTCGAGGAGGGTCGCGACACGTATTGTACCAAAAGAAAAAGAGAAAAAAGGTTCCTTCTTTACCCTATCGAAACCAAGAAAAAAATGGACTTTCAAGCTTGGCGACCAGCCATCATCTCCACCATCATCTTCCAAGGTCCCTTTCCTTCCTCCCCGAAGATCTCACCCTCGTTCTTGCTCCAGAACCAAGAAGCTACCACTAACCCCCACAAGATTTTCCCGAGAAAGTTGAACTAGAAAATTCTCCCAGAAAAATTTTCTGTGTTTCTTCTCCTGCCGAACAGGGCTGGTGGGTAGGTGGTCCTTGCCTTTGGGGGGCCGAGCCCGACCCTCAAAAGCGCTCGTTCAGGGCCCGGCCCGAAGCTGAACGAACCCGCAATCTCTCCGTTTCGGACCAAACGTCTCCCCACCGGCGCGGCGACGGGCAGAGCATTTTCTTCCCTCCGCCTTTTCACGACGGCAGCCATGGCTTCTCGACCTTCCAGAGTTCTGGGCAGTTTCGGTATGATGGGTAGCGCCGTGCCTGCGTGCTTGTTCCCTAAAGTCTCGTACTTGCGCGCTTATGTCGTGTCCCTTTTGTTTTGTTTTTTTTTTATTCAGGGTACGACTTGCTACTCGGATCGATCGCTGCGTTTTACGTGTTCATGGTGCCTTATACTAAGGTTGAAGAAAGCTTTAATGTTCAGGTAACTCCAATTTCCCCTCGGTTGTGAGTGATCTTGGTCCGTTTGGTTCTTCTGGGTGATGATTTAAAGAGGAAAAGAATGCGAAAGTTTTCAAATTTAAGGAATCGCGATTTCTGTTTCGTAGCTGATAAGAGTGTTGGTCGAGGTTGATTTCCTTTGTCAAGTACTTGAGATGTTTCTGTTGTCGGGGAGAGACGAAATGGTGATGCACTGGTTGGATTGTCATAATTGTATCTTCTGGCTGACTTTCCTGCCTGTTTGCGTTGTATTTATTTTGCAGGCGATGCATGATATTCTTTACCATCGGCATCACCTGGACAAGGTAAGGGAACATCATGTGCTTTACTTGCTTAAATTCAGAAGTTTGTGAACTCTTCCCTTTGTGGGCTTTGGTCACATCAGCCAATAGGCTTTCTCATGTACCCCAAGATTTGCAGCCGACTAACAGTTAGCTAGTTTGTAAGAGTTGATGTGCTGGGTTATTTAAATTCTTGTGTTTGCTTCCTTGTGTCTTCATAAATAGTCTTTCTGCTGCAAATTCTTTTCCCCGACTACTTTCCATTCCAAGAGATACTAAAGCGAAATCTCTATTGGTTTTGATGACTGTCCTAGTATGATCACCTGGATTTCCCTGGAGTTGTTCCCCGTACTTTCCTCGGTAAGCCACCTACAAGTTTACATGGTGAATTGTTTCCCCCAGTCTGTTGATGTTTTCTTTACTTTAGATAAGTTTGGCAGTTGTAGAATCTTCCGACCCATGAAATTGGGGAAATGATGGAAAGATGACTTGTTCTTTTGACTGGAGTTCTTCGTACTTGTCTGTCATTTCTTCTACTTTCTAGGTTCTTGTGTGACATAAAAGTGAGCGCAGTCCGGTATACACATTTTCTTCTAATGATGCTGAAAGTAGATTCTTTGATGTGGTACATGATACTAATCTGAACTAAAAGCTTATAGTCTTACTTTTGCACTTTTGATCTCTTGAAGCTCATCATTTCTGGTAATTTCTTGGTAATATATTCAACTTTTCTATAAATTGCGCTTGTACTTTAGTATGAACCATTCCAATTGCAGGTTACTATCCAAAATAGTAAAATGCTTTACATTGGTTAAATCAGATCCCTATATTAAGTTAAGCTTATATTTATTTATCTTTTCCCCTTTTAGGTGCAATCTTGGTATCAACTTTGGCAACACCAGTTGTATTGATAACGAGCTTGCTGCACTTGCCAAAGATGTATAGTCTTTATGCAGGTTTGTTGGTCAGATTACTTAATATCTTTCTTGCTTCTATATCTAGAATAATATGAAATTTGGCTCATTTCTTACTTTGTTGATCATTCTGAATTAATGGATTACTGCTGTATGCGTAATGGATATCTTAAGTAGAGATTTATCCTTGTGAAGCCTTTTTGATATTACACGCGAATGTTTTAATGGGGGCAGTATCATATTCTTATGCTCATGTTGAGGTTTTTGTTGCCATCATCAGCTCGATTGGTGTTGGGTAGCATCATACTGTTGACACTAAGGTTTTGCAGAATTCAGGTATGCTTTTGATGTTTTTCCTTTATTCTACTTAGTATTCCTTATTTCTTTCCCTTTTTCCTGGTATTGATTGCTATAAGCGCTTCTCCTACTTATGTTTGACCGAAAATAAATGTACACAATACATTTCTGCTGCTTTTAAAGCATGTAGAGAAAGAATAAAGAACTCTGGAGGATTGTGGATGACCTTGTAGCTTAGTATCTCATGACAAGCCTTTCCATGGTATCATATGGTGGTTTGCTGGACACATAATTTCAAGTAGCTATAGTTTCATAATATGAATTCACTGAGTGATAAACAAATATGTCTTTGAACCGAACCTGATCTATTCTAAACTTTGGATTATATTTCGTTTGAGATTTCCAAAGATGAAAGAAGAGGACTTAAACTTTTCTAGACTATGCTGTCCTATGGCATCCATGTTGCTGAATGTTTCGTCATACAAATGGTCCACACTTGTGTGTTTGGTTATTATGGGTCTGCAGTATGTTTTAAAATAATTAAAGCAAAAGAAACTGCACTATCTTCATGGTTTGCTTAACATACAGTGGGAGATGGTTTGATGTAGGAAAATTCAGTCAGTCTTTCTAGTGATGCTATGTAGATTGCTTATAGGATAATTGGAAGGTCTCTTAATTCCCATATAAGATGGTTTGGAGGTACCGAATCCTTATTTATCAATGCGGTACACTTACTTTGATCAGGAGATTGCAAACATACTGATAAGTTTGTCATGTATAACTGATGCATTTTGTTTAGAGGGAGTTATTGAGTATCTGGCTTCATTGCATGGAGCTGAATTTGCTTCTTTCAAGTATGCAGCATAGTTCTGTGGATACAATGCCTCAAGTTGTTTTCCTTCACCACTCATTGTGCAGCTGGTGCACTTGTTGAACATCACAATTATCATCCAGCCGCACCTTTTTGTGTAGGATTCTTCATGTTAAATGCTTTGAAATCGCTGCTATCTCATTTTCTTTCTCTCTCCTTTTCTTTTGGATGTTTCCAATCGCATAAAAAGTTTTGGCTGGCCTTTTTAGGATGATTAACTGTCTAAGTTTTTACTAGTTTGAAAATTGGCCCTGTTACTATATTTACTTGATCCCTTTGTGTGGCTCAGTTGATGAGACTCCTGCTTTGTGATGTCTAGGGAAGATCACATGTACACACTATTTCTTTTGCAGTTTAGAAAGTGTAAAGTGTGATCTACAGGTTAATAGAATAACCTTATTGTTGTGGCAACTCACTTTTCTGCGTTAAAAATTACAAAACAACTATTCTATTTTACATGCTTCGATCCGAAGCGGAGGCAACTGCTTTTCTAGGATATGGGGTATCTTAGTATTGTTAAGACATATCTCATACTGTCATCTGTCCTTTTTGCAATCACTGAACGTTTGTACCACCATTCTGATGTTGGAAGATCTTATTGTAATCATGAGGTTTGAACTTGACAATTATGCTTCCTGTGCATGTACCAAGTTTAGTTTTGTCAAGTTGGTGATTTGAGGTTGGAAGCAAGTATTTATTTGGCTAATAAAGTTCTATTTTATTATAATGAAATCGGTCCTAAAAACCTACTAAACTATAGTTTTTTTTCCATTTGGGCAGGTTAGACATAAATTTGGATGTCAAGTAGAAGCCTTCTTTGTAATCTTAAGTGCAGTTCAGTTTCACTTGCTGTTCTATTGCACCCGTCCTCTTCCTAACATACTTGCACTTGGTCTAGGTAATTTGACTTGTATCATAACAATTTTATTTGCAGCTAGTTCGGAATTGCAAATCTTTTATCACTTTCTATCTTTGCAGAATTATTGGTCATCCAATTGTGAAGCAACATGACTTTCTTGAGATAGTGATGTTTAATTGGTAGTTTACAAGAGCACCATCTGCCCCTTTAAATTTTTCACTGTAGTATCTTTGGCTGAGAAGGGGGTATCTAGTATTTAGTGTGACTTTCTGTATTTGGAACTATAATATTCAGCATAACTTTGGCATACCGTAAGTGGATCATTATCTGGAGGGAGTGATGTCATGGATAAAGTTGTAGTTGCTTACTGTAAAAATTTGGATGTGCTGAAGCATTAAACTAAGGATGGAGTCAGGAAACAGGAGGTTACAACCTTGACAGGTTCCTTCACCAGTCTGTTTCTAAGCGAAAGCTTTACGAGAGAATAAATATGTCCAGTGTCCAATTAAGTCATAGTTCTAGAAACGAATTTTATTTTTCTCTTTAAAAGAAATGAAAAGAAACCGAAGATGCTGCTGTCTATTTGACTGGTAGTTCCATTACAATATTTCTGTTCTTTTCAAGTAGAGGAAAATGCACACGTGAACATCCAGTAAAATCAAAGAACCCTAAAAGGGGAGCCTCCCCCGAAGTTTATGCTCTGTGTGTGTGTGTGAATAACCACATGATCTGATCATGAGGAGATTCTTTGATCTTTAATATTTGCAAGTGGCTACAGATTGATCGTATCTTTTGCTCTGTACCATTTCTTTTCTTGGTCACGTTTGCCGTAATTGTGATGCTCCCTGTGGTAGTTGTCGATTGGTATCTTTCTATCATGGACGTCAACATAACTGGCGACTTGTTGCTTATTATTTTTATGTGTGGGTTATTGCCAGTCTTTGAATATTTTTTGTTAATTGTGTTGCAGTTAATATTGCGTATGCTTATTGGATTAGAGGCAGCTTTTATGCAACGTTGAACTGTCTGGTATGCTTTCATCTTCTCTACTTCCATTATAATCACTCACACCTGTTTCAATTTTTTTTTTCCACTTAATTGTGTGCTTTAATTTGTTATATCTCTAGCTAGTAGCTTCTGCTTGTTTGATTGAATAGCCTGTCATTCTGGGGTATGTGAGTGTTTCCTTACAATTCGGTAGGCAGTGAAAGTAAATAATAGCATTCTCAGATGGAACTGTTATTTCAAGATAGAGAGACCTTAGCTAAACCTTCTTTTATCCAGATTATTCTTCTTTGATATCAGACCACGCACTTTGTGCGTGCTCGCATGCACACATGATTGTGCTTGTGAACCTTTACACCTGGTTGAGCCTCCCGCCCAAACAAAACTAAAATCAAACACCAACAAACAACACACTTGCATCCATGCCAAATGCACATGGTGTGGCGTCATTTACGCTCTCCACCACCTGCACGTAGACACAGGCATGTGCCTGCATTTGAGTATTTAGGTATGGTGTTTTGCTTTCATTTTAACTTTGTCCTTGCTCATTCACTACTTTGGATGACTTAAGGTTTCATCTCTAATTTGCGGCGTGCCGTTCTTATGACTCTTTTCCTAATTATCAGGTTTTTGCAACCCTGGTCTTTCGATGTGATGTTCTGCTACTGTTGTGTCCTATAGGCCTCGAACTTCTTTTGGTGAGTACTGATTTTGTGACAATCTTTCTCCCCCCTTTCCCTGTCTCTCCTATCTTTCCATTATGGTCTCCTCATCCTCGAAGTCTGGATTTTATCCTTAGCTGTGGTTGATTTCTCTCCTATTTTTCACTTACAATTCATCCGAATAAGATCATTTTGTGTGTTGCCCAGTGCTGGCGAAAGTGATGGCATTTCTTAGTATTTGGTTTGTCTTGCCAAAGATGGAAATATATTTTGTATAGGATCTTGTTGGAGTTTGTCTGTTTGGTCAATTTAGACATTGTAGATGTTATAGGAGATATGATGGTCCTAGAGTTATATTGTTCAGTTGAACAGCAAGTTTTAATGCTTAGGCATTTGAAATTGATTTCTCTGATAGTGTTATGGAATGGCATGCTCGTTCTCTTTAGTCCACAAGTTGTCTAGTCACATTATTCTTGTGTGGTAGTCAGTGCTGACAAAAGTAATGGCTGTTCTCTGTCCATAGTTTGCCTTGCCAAAGATGAAATTCTATTTCTTTCAGGATTGAATGTCGGAGCATTGTCTGATGAATATTCTTCATCCTTAATTGTGTGGCATGGATTTACTTCATCTTAGATCTTGATTATCTTGTGTTGTTATGAATGTTTATACTTGTCAATCACAGACCAGATCAATTTCATTACTTAAAGCTTGTAAATGGTGCATTCCAATGGCCCTTCTGTGTGTAGGTGAGCCCAAATTTCTTGGGACTTGTTTTTTTTTCCAATTGTCAATATGAATATCACGACCATGTAATCCAGATCTATTTTTTATTATCTGTTGTACTTTCGACAGGTCTTACAACATTCGTGGATTCATTCATGTGGAAGAAACTCATGTGGCCTGAATTTGAAGTTTTTTGGTTTAACTCAATTCTCAACCGAAGCTCTGAATGGGGTGTATCCTTTTGTGGCAATCTTTATATCTTATGATGTTATTTCATTTCTATTAACAAAGATTACTAGTTAATTTTTAAGGTTAATAAAAGCAGAGGAATGTATATTCCGACAAGTCTGCTAATTTAATAAAATATGCATTTTAAGTACAAGATGAAGTATAACCGTTTGATTGAGAAAAGGTTGATGAAGGTTTAGAGCAGCCTTAGTGCATATAGTGTGTGATGCTAACCTATTTTCACTGAGTGCTGCCAACAGAAGTTGCCTTTGCCATGGTGATTTTATAACTATTTGATGTTTCTAGCAACTTGAGGAATGCAAATATTGAGGTGGAGACAGAACAGTGTTTATACTCGAGGTGTACGAGAAGCACTGCAGAAATCTGACTCTGAAGAAACATCTTCCTCCTTTGACTCTCTCTATCTAGAGTTGGGAGAGGAAGTCCTGTCAACTAATAAATTGAAAAGCATCAGGCTTTTAGCTTCAAAAGGCTGCTTTAGCCTGATCACTAGGAGAAGATGGCACCTAAAGAGCAATGTATAGATCTTCCATGTCCTTTGCCCAGGGCATGTCCATGCCACTTGTTCATACTCGTCATAATTTCATTTCTACTTTGGGAGTCTTCCATTTTTTCCCCAAAGCACTCAAATCTTGTGGTTGTGCGTACCCCAGGTGTAGTATTCCATTTGCATACATGCTATGAATTACCAGTTAAGAGTCTAAACTCTTGAGTATACTGTTTCAAATTTGTGTTGTAGAGATTATAATTACCTTTTTATAATTTTATTAATGATGCTTTGGTCTTTTCATGAGTTTAGACAATAATTACCTTCCTTATAAGTTTGCGATTAGACATACCCATTTCATTGGTACTTGACTTCGGCACTACCCCGCGCACTGCTTGCTGCATATCCTCTTTCTCTGGTGAGTTATGGAGCAAACTAGCAGTTCTCAGAGTCGGATCACAATCCTTGTCCATTTTTTTTAATGGTTCTTCACTGCATCATTAGCTATTATCTTGAATTATCAAGCTATTAACTTGACTGATGGTAAATATTTTGCAGAAAAATCTACTCAACTGTAAAATCGGAGTTATTTTAGTTGCTCCCTTCCATAATTTTATTTTTGGTCCAGCTCTCTTCTATAATTTGAATGCTGATCTTTTTGCAGCTTGGTGTCTTACTTGATAGGAGAATGCTTTTTTATATCATCCCCTTGTATTCTTTTGTCCTCCTCTACTCTAAGCTTCCACACAAGGTAATCTAGATGAAACATTGAATCCATCCTCTTACTTAACAACTTGGGAAATGATTTTGTTGACAAATATGCTGCAGGAGCTCCGGTTCATTATTGCTTCAGTTCCAATTTTCAACTTATCGGCCGCAGTTGCAGCAAGCAGGATGTATGTCACTCCTGCGTAGTCTGAACCTTTATTTGGTCTCTGTAAGAATATACAGATGAGATGACAACATGATTTTGATAGCAATTATGTTCTTTTTATTCCTAAAATATTTTTTTCCTTTGTTTGGGTAAGGGAAATGCGCTATACCCTCAGTGAAGAATTTGACTTAGCGAGAGAAGTAGTTAGACGTCTCCTTAATGCATCATTGTTTCGAAATTTGCAAAGCCTCTAATATTCTTGAGAATTTTGTGTAAGCATTGAGAGGTTTCATAACTCCAGATAACTGCTTCATCCTGCTTTGGTAAATGAGCACTTATGGACAACTTATTAGGTCATCTATTGGATTTTTGCCTTTTGATGGGCTGATGCTTATTCAAAAATGGATTTTCGTAATATGTGACTATTGAAATCAGTTCTCATATACTACTCACTTTGCCAATGATGGAGCTATTGCATTTAGTTAGTGAGTACCATGTGGTAATGTTGCAAATAGAGACGTGATCAATATAGTGTATACTCAAGCGCTAACCATTGGTGATATACATGATATACACTTCAATATTTCCTGGAGTCGAGAACTTTCTTGTTTCTTCCATGCATGTGATACTAAAAATTGCTCATATTTGTTTGGATCTGTATAGCTATAACAACAAGAAGAAACGTCTCTGGAATTTGCTCTATCTCATTATGGTGGGATCAATAATTGTCAGGTTAGATTGGTTTCTACTTTATTGTTCGGGGTTACTATGCAGATTCAATCTTGCACTAACATTTTATCTTGTAGTCTAGGGTGCACGGTTGTCACTTTCTTGGCATCTTATGAGAACTATCCCAGTGGCTACGCTTTAAAATACTTACATAGGAGTAGTAAGCTCTCTCTTCCTCTGTGTATATTTGTGTGCATGCCACCATACAAATGTGTGCACGTTCATTCTTTATCATCCTTTTTGAAGAAATCTGCTTGTACAGGCCAGCCCAAGGATAATGTGAAAGAGCAGTGGGTTCACATAGACTCCTTTTCAGCCATGAGTGGAATATCTCGTTTCTGTGAAGATGACTTTCCGTGGAGGTAGTCTAGCTGCTCTAATAACCAGTTTCTTAGTAATCCCTCTTAATTCTTACGAGCTACAAGTCAATGAGAACTTACTAGTTTCACATTTCTGGAAGAAAATTGACATTTTTTTTGGCCTTTTACTCGCAAATAGTACATGAATTAAATATAATTGACATTCAGATGTATAGATATCTTTGGGCTGGTGTAGAGAATGAAATCTTAGAGCTTTTGATATGCTAGAAGGCCCTTTTATTTTGTTGAAGATGGTTTTTACTTTGAACTTTTGTCATATAAAACACTAAGATAAGATAAACATGGCTTGTTAGAGAACTCATGAATAATGTTGCTGTTACTTTGCACTGCTTTGGTACCTTTAACCAAATTAGTTTACTTGGAATTTTTTTGTGCAAAAATGCCTGGATTGAATAAATAAGTTTTATGGGAAAAAAATAAGGGAAAATGACACAAACAGTCCCTGAACTTTGGCCCAATGTGCAATGCGGTCCCTGATATTTTAATTTGTTCAATGTGGTCCCTGAACTTTAACCCAATGTGTAATTTGATCTCTGAACTTTTAATTTGTTCAATGCCGTCCCTGAACTTTTGGTACATGTTCAGTTTAGTCCCTGAACTATATGAAAATGTTCAATGTAGTTCTTCCATTAATTCAAGTTCAGGGACTATATTGAACTTTTTCATATAGTTCAGGGACTACATTGAACATGTATCAAAAGTCCAGGGATCATATTGAATAAATCAAAAGTTTAGGGACCACATGGAACATTAAGTTAAAGTTCAGGGATTACATTGAATGATTTAAAAGTTCAGGGATCAAATTGCACATTGGGCCAAAGTTCAGGGAGTGTTTGTATCATTATCCCGAAAAATAATAAATAAAGTTTACTAGAGCTCATGGTTAATTTGCACAGCGGAGGCACTCCTTCGTTTATAAGATGTAAAGTGTACTGTTCTCTAATAGCTTAAACTCTTACATAAGCTGGTAGTGGTTTCTCAATGTAAGATGATGTCTAAGCTGGAGGTCTTGAGTTCCATTCCTTACATGTTTCACATACGTATGGGATTCCCTTCTTTGTTAGTATGTTTCAATTCGAGAGTTCCTTCACCTGTATGTCTTAGGTTCTCACTGTTCAGGCTTTCATCATATACCTAACTTTGCATGAGGTGAAGGGTTAAAATAAAAATGTAAATGCGGCATTCTCTAACTACCTAGTTATTAAATAAGTGTGACAGTGGTTTTATAATTTTAAAGTCTCAGCACTTCTCAAAAAAGGTACTACTAAGCAGCATACACAAGGTCCAAAGCACTCCATCTTCACTGACATTTGCAAAGGATGCATGATTGCTAGTCCTTCAACAGTTTTGTAAGCTCTGTATCTTGATTTTCTATTGTAATACGATTAGGTACTCTAAAGAAGAAGGGATTCCCTTGCAAGACTTCCAGCTCAGAAATTTCACGTATCTTATCAGGTGAGGCTTTTGGTTATTTGTTTTTCATGGCAAAACATCAGTATCATATTGCTAATGACAAAGGTGAAGACTCTTGCTGTATCTCTGCAATTGTTGCCCAGATTCTAGTAGTATTATTTGTTACGCCAATGAGAGCACATATGGAGGCTTATGAACTGGATACCTGGATAATGTAAGTGCTTTTTCTAATGTGGGACAGTGAGCATACTACTGTCGATGGATTCAAGTGTCTATTCTACGTTAAAGGCTTCTCAAGGATCCGTCTTCAAATTGCTCTCCCTCTAGTTATGCTGGTAAGTAGTTGTTGCGGTGCCATACCTCTGACATGATTATTTATCAGGCTAAGATTTTCCTCATGCTTTCTAGGTCACGGAACCCAAAGTATATGTCCATGGAAATTTGAAAGACTGGGATCAAATAGATAAAAATTGGCCTGGATGCTTGTGATTTTCAATTCTGCTATCTATGAGTTTTCTCTGTGGCTCTTAGCATGACGGAAAAAAAAAATATCCTTAGTGGACATATGCTGTAGCCTGCCCAGGAGGTTGTACTCTTGGAAGCCTCGCCCGATTTCCAAGGATACGCTAATTGAGAAGGGCTAATTTCTTGCTTGAGATAGAAATTTTTCTGGAGTCAAAAGAAGCATTAAGCATTGGAACTACTTCGGTCAAAAGAATGCACCAGCAGCATCTGGTTTGTTTCGAGGTAAATTGTTGGGGTGTCATGTAGTATAGATTTTCTTTTCTCGAACATGTACTATGATCTGGTGGGAGTTAATAATTTACTGTTGTGGAACTTTCTAATTATGACTACCTGAGGAAATGAAGAATACAATATGTGGATGGGTAATCTTACGTCTAATTTAATGGCAGAGATGTGCACCGGCTATGCCTATTTTCGGGCAGAATGAAGCCATTTTTCCCCTGTTACCCGATCTGTTTTCTGGTGTGAAAGATTAATCTCTTGTAATTAGCCCATTATATCTCCAACTTTTTGCCATTTTCACACGTAGATCTCCCTCAAGAAACATTATACTGACCGTGGCGTAGGCCTTAATATGCTCATGGAAGTTCCGATTTGTCATTACTCAAAACATATTATAAGGTGGATTTCCTGTACCTATTTAGTCCTACTAGTCTTCTGGCTGTTTAACCATAATCATTGAAACACTACATTTGATGTTTCATCTTCATTGTAGCTCCACTTCTTTCTTGGCCTACGGCAAATATTTTTCTATTTGATTCACTCAGGCATGCATGCGCTAGTGCTTGATACTACAGACTGAACTTAGAACACCTGGACTATAGAATTTTTCTTTTCCTATTCACCTTCTAAATTGTGAATACAAGGAACCTCGGGCGTGATTTGGCGATATATTCTTGCTTTAGAATAGTTAAGTTCCGTCAATACGACTGCTCAGTGAATCAATCTTCAGATATGGTAAGGGCAACAACACAGGAAGAGACGATTGAATCACAATGTTAGTAAGTTGGGAAAAGAAAGCAAGACTGGAAATATCACGGCATAAGATGCGGCGTCTCGGCCCTGCTTAATGTCAGAACATCGATCGAGCCATTGGCGCGTTGAGACTTTTCTGAATTCGAGTTGATGCTGAGTTAAACGCCCGAAGCGCGTTGAGACTTTTCTGATCCTGAGAGGTTTACTAGGGGCTTGACGAAAAGTGGAGTCGTCTCTCGTCGGAACTTTTTGGGCCTCTTTTCCTGGCCAATATCATATAGAATGTCCTTGTCATGACCTTAGCTCGTCCACTCTTATCCAATGCCGTGCCTGACCTGCTGACTGCTCCATAGACTCTTGACCAAGTCCAGTACACACGCACCATATATTCATCACCATCCTCACACATCTCTCTCACATCTTCATATCATCCCACAGATCAAAACATGTCCAACCTTGGAGTAACCCAAAGGCCATCCTCCATCTCTTCATCAACTCCCCCAATGGAAACTCCCCACGAGCCGAAACTGAAATCCCTGAACAACATCAAGCTCGCGTTCCCGCTCGGCCTCCCGGCCACCCCGGAAGCCGCGGCTGCCCGGATCATCAAGAACCTCTCCCACCTCGGCCTGTTCTACACGCTCGTTCTGTGGGTCGGGTTGTCCATAAGCCTCGTGCCAGAGCGCAGGTTCTCGCTGCTGCTGCTGATGGCCACGACCATTATCGCCAACCAGTACCTCATCATGCTACGACTGATGCCAAACTCCATTTGCATAAACAAGGCTGTCGACAAGATGCTCGTCCTGGTGCCCGTGGCGATTGTTACCATCGTGGGGCTCATTCTGACGAAGGCCGCGATCCACCTTGTCGCGACTCTAGGGATCGGAATACCGGTCATTTTGGTTCACGCGGTGCTTTGGAGGGACTGCGGGTTCGTAAACGAGGAAGCTTCTGCTTCTGCTCCCAGTGAATTGGCTCCTCTAGTAGATACTGTTTAATCGGTTTAATTGACGCCGCGACGATTCTGGAGCCGTCCGCGCGATGGATTAAGAGGAAATCAAGACCCCCTACAGGCAACAAAGATTAGCTAGCATAATCTACCTACTTTCTTTTTCACTTCCTGTTTAGACTTCCTTTCTACGATTCTATCATGGCTTAGTCTTCACATGTTTTCGATCATTGGGCCAGAGAGTTCTGATCTCAGAAAAGTGAATAAGAAGATGTTCCCTTCACTGGTTCTCCTTCAAAGTCGTAATCAGACTTCCTTTCTATAGAGCTATTAGCCAACCGAACGCAAGTGCTAGTTCGAAAGTTAATACTTGTCAAGATACGTTTGACTTTTGAGCATGACGCATGTTGAGATTTCTTCCTTTAAATTCTGTATCAAGGGTAAGTAAAGTAGTTGTTTGCTAATAGAATGATAGTACTTGTCTAACGTGACGTCTTTTAATTCGAATTAGCTAATGTAATTCAGTGGGTTTTACTTGGTTGTTGGTTCTCACTGTTTTCGTCACGACATGTTATCGTATTTATCTTGGAATTGAGCAATGTGTATTCAACTAGCGTATTTGATAAATAACTTGCGTTATAATTTGAGCAAAATAGAAGGGGTTTCGAGTAAATTTTTTATGGGTGCCCAAGTAATTTGAACAAAATTGAAGGGGTCTATAAGTAATTTACCCCTACTGGATATATTAGAGATGTCCGAGTAATTTAAGCAAATTTTATTTCGAAATTGTAGCTGTTTATCATGCAAAATAGACATTTATGACTTTCCCTTATTCATAAATTTAAATCATACAGCTTGATTTCCAATATTATCAATGAGTTGACTGATTTACACAGGTGATGTTGATATACCACAAATAAAAGTTTATTATTTGCTACGAAAGTCGACAAATATCGAATGATAAGATAAAGGTTGTTCAGTTATTAAATTAAAAGTTGGTAAATGAATAATAGTTTGTAACTTCCTCAGTGAAATGATAATAAGTTGCTAACTAAAAAATTGGTAAATTGTCAAAAAGTTGGTAAACTTGAAAATGTTTATAAGAAATAGAAGTTCACAATTAATAAACTTTGATAGACTCGAATAAAAGTTGGTAACCAAAATGAGTTGCTAACTTAATTCAAGAAAAAAAGTAGGAAAGTAACTCAAAATTAGATCAGTGAGTTGACATACAAGTTGGTAATTAAAGAGCATCGATAAGTTATGGGAATAAAAGTTGGTAACTTGTTATAAAAGATGGTAATTTTGAAATGATCAGATGAACGTCGGTAAGTGACTCAAATAAGCGTGCATAACCTAAATTGAACTACTAATTTAATTGGAAAAAAAGTTAGTAAGTTCCTCAAATTTAGATCTAACAATTTTATGCAACAGTTGGTAATTTTTAAAAGTTGGTAGATACGCAAATAAACCTTGATAATTGGTTTTAACAAAAAAAAAAAAAAACCTTGATAATTGGTTGGAATAGTTGGTAATTTCTAAACAATTAAGTAAAAAGCTTGCAAATTGATATGAAGTAAACCCTAGGTTTCATGTAGTTGGTTGAGATGTCGGAAGATTTTCAGCTCTGGAACTGAAGACTACTCATTCAAATCTCATCAATTACGCGCCAATTACTATAGGTGAGGATCACTTGCGTAAACCAAAATTTTGAAATTAAAGTCGTTTGGGCCCTTGCAAGGTGATCCCGGCCTCTAGGTTATCGGGCCTCTGTGCAAACTACTCCATATTCCGCGCGAACAAACTCATTTAGTATCTAATGACCGCGTTCAATCTTCGGACATTAACAGATTTGGATCGTCCGACGTGAAGAACCACCCTCTGATGTATGGTAATATTTTGAGACAAGACAATTACCAGACCGAGGCCCAGAAAGTTTTTGCCATTGACCCTAATTGACCTCAGCTTCTTCACTACTGCTTTCTTGCATAATTGCCTCATCTGCTAGGGGGGGTTTCTGTTTTCTGGGGTGAAAGCTTTAATCTCTTATAGTTAGCCTATCATATCTCCAAGTTTTTTGGGCACTTTCACATGTAAGATCTCCCTCGAGAAACATTTTATTCTGACCGTGGCGGAGGCCTTACTATGCTCATGGAAGTTTTGATTCGTCTTTGCTCCAACAATTTTTGAGGTGGATTCCCTGCACCTATTCACTCCTGCTGTTTCTTCTGGCCGACTAACCGTACTCATGGGCAATAGTACATTTGATGTTTCATCTTCATTCTAGCTCCACTTCAATCAGGCATGTATGCGCAAGTGCTTGATACTACGGACTAAACTTAGAACACCTGGCCTCGAGATTTTTCCTTCTCCTTTTCACCTTTTAACTTTGTGAATACGAGGTACCTTGAGTGTGTTTTGGCATTATATTCTCGCTTGATTATAGTAAGTTCCGTCAATACGAGGTGCTCATTGAATCAATCTTCAGGTATGGTAAGGGCAGCAACAAAGGAAAAGACGGACGATTTGATCGAACATGATAAGCACGAATCACAATAACAGCAAGTCGCGAAAAACAAAGCAAGACTGGAAATATCATGGTATAAGCCTGCTTAATGTCATTGTTGCATTCCGTGGCTTTGGTCATTCGATCATCGAGAACAGTCAAATGAGCCATGATTTAGTCTCAAATACTGTTTGTTTACGATATCATCTCAATGCAACAGACAAACACGAAGTCTTTTGATCGAACGACGACATGAATTCAAGTCAATGCTAAGTTAACGCATGCGTTGAGACTTTTCTGATCTTGAGAGGTTTCCTAGGTGCTGGATGAAAAGTTCAGCAGTCTCTTGTTGGATTTATCGCCAACACAAAAGAACGTCCTTGTCATGACTCTAGCTCTGCTCTTATATATCTCATTTACACAGCCCAAGTCCAGTACACAGCACCATATATTCATCACCATCTTCACCCATATCTCTCTCATCTTCATTTCATCTCCACATCAAAGCATGTCCAACGTTGGAATTACTCAAAGACCATCCTCCATCTCTTCATCAACTCCCCTAATGGAAACTCCCCACGAGCCGAAAGTGAAATCCCTAACCACCATCAAGCTTGCATTCCCATTCGGCCTCCTGGCCACCCCGGAAGTCGTGGCTGCCCGGATCATCAAGAACCTCTCCTACTTCGGCCTGTTCTACACGCTTGTTCTGTGGATCGGATTGTCCATAAGCCTCGTGCCCGAGAGCAAATTATCGCTGCTGTTGCTGATGGCCACGACCATTATCACTAATCAGTACCTTATTATGCTACAGCTGATGCCAAACTCCATTTGCATAAACAAAGCTTTCGACAAAATGCTCGTCCTGGTGCCTCTGGCAATTGTTACCACCGTGGGGCTCATCCTGACACAGGCGGCGATTCACCTTTTCGCAACTCTGGGGATCGGAGTACCGGTCATTTTGGTTCAGAGGGACGGCGGTTTTGTGAACGAGGAAGCTTCTTCTTCTGCTTCTGCTCCTGGTGAATTGGCTCATCTAGTAGTTAATGTTCAATCGGTTTAATCAATGTTGCGATGATTTCAGAGTCGTCCCGGCGATCGATCAAGAGGACCCCCTGCAAGCAACACGATCAGCTAGCATAATCCAACTACTTTCCTTTTCATTTCCTGTTTTCCTTTCTACAATTGCAATATGGCTTAGTCTTCGCATGTTTTCGATCATTGGGCTGGAGAGTTCTGATCTCAGATAAGTGAATAAGAAGATGTTCCCTTCACTGATTCTCCTTCAAAGTCGTAATCAGACTTTCTTTTTTTAGAGTTATAAGCCAACTGAACGCAAGTGCTAGTTCGAATGTTAAATTCAGGAGGATCATAGCACTTGTCATGATACATTCGACTCTTTAGCAGGACGTATTTTCAGATTCCTGCCTATAAATTCTGTATGAAGGTTTACGTAAAGTGGGTGTTTGCTAATAAAATGATAGAATTCGTTTAACATGACCTCCTTTAATTGGAATTAGTTCACTTGGTTCTCACTTATTCCGTGACATGTTATCATAACTATCTTGGAATCGAGCAATTTGTTTATGAGTAACATTTTCAATGAGTAACATGCATTGTAATTTGAGCAAAATAGAAGGGCAGTCGAGTAATTTTTTTAGGGGTGCTCGAGTAATTTGGACAAAATTGAAGGGGTCTATAAGTAATTTACCCTACTGAAAGTACTAGAGATGTTCAAGTAATTTAAGAAATTTTATTTCGAAATTATAACCGTTTATCACACAAAATATACATTTATCAGCTTCCCTTGTTCATAAATTAAAATGATACAATTTGATTTTAAACATTATTGCAAGAGTTGAGTGATTCATTTACACAAGTGATAGTGGATATACCATAAGTAAAAGTTCGTTATTTGCTACAAAAGTCTCGATAAATTGCAAACACCAAAATAAAGGTTGTTTAGCTATTATATTAAAGGGATAACAGCACAAGTGGTTCCTAAACTTTGATCATATGAGTTGTAAGCTCTCTCTTTTCCTGTGTATGTTTGTGTGCCTGCATCACCATACATATGCGCGCGTTTTCATTCTTCATCATCCTTTTTGCAGAAATCTGCTTTTACAGGCCAGCCCAAGGATAACATGAAAGAGCAGTGGATTCACACACTCTTTTTTAGCCATGAGTGGAATATCTTTTTTCTGTGAGGATGACTTTCCATGGATGTAGTCTAGCTGCTCTAATAACCAGTTTCTTAGTAATCCCTTCCAATAGCTTCTTCACTACTTGATGCACCTAGGGGGACCGGCGGACCCGTTATGCGACTGGACGAATCGGCGGGTTTGAAGTCAACGATATCAGATTGAGCTCAAATTTGGTCGGCTGAAGCGAAACGGCGTGCTGATCAATACTCGTAGCCTTTGGTTACGGCTAACGATGGATTTTCGCGATTCGGGGTCGTTTAGATGTTTTTTTTAATAATTATTTTAGTAATTTTCGAATTAAGGGTATTTTTGTATTTTTTGCGTTTTTTTTGTCATTAGGGTTAACACCCTTTATAAACTCGTTTTTAGGGTTTTGAGAGGCAGTAGTTTTTGGATGTTTTGAAAACTTATCGATTGTTAATCGATTAAGAGAACAGTTTGTTCCTCGTTATCGTTTCGATTCTTCTGTTTAGCCTAATTTATATTGCGCTTCGGCATCAATTGGTATCAGAGCACAGGTTGCTTGAATCAATGGCTGAACAGAATCGCGGTCGTGGACGGAGGGCTCATGGTGGCCGGGGGCATGGAG